TGTTCATCTTGGATAAATTGTGCTAGAAAGCTTGAACTCCAAGGGGTTTTGTGAGGATGTCAGCAACTTGCTCTGAAGAAGGAACAAACTGCAGCTGAATTGTGCCAGTGGAGAGCTTTTCCCTTACAAGATGACAGTCTATCTCTATATGCTTAGTCCTCTCATGTTGGACAGGGTTGTTAGCTAATGCAATGGCAGATTTACTATCTGAGAAAACAGTCACAGGGAAAGAATGAGATATATGGAGATCATTAAGCAGATACAATAACCATTGTGCCTCACATGCTGTAGATGCTAATGCTCTATACTCAGATTCACCAGAAGATCTACTAACAGTTTGTTGCTTTTTAGATTTCCAAGAAATTAAAGAGTTACCAATAAAAAAAAGGCATAACCTGTAATACTTCTCCTAGTATCAATACAACCAGCCCAGTCACTATCTGAGAAAGCATGTAAAGATAAAGGAGAATTTCTGGGATAGAATATACCTTTGCCCACTGAGTTTTTGAGGTACCTGAGCACTCTATGTGCTGCTGTGAGGTGTTGTGTGGTAGGAGACACCATATGTTGGCTTAATGCTTGAATGCAAAATGAGAGATCAGGCCTTGCAATAGTAAGGTAGAGTAATCTCCCTATAAGTTTTCTATATGCAGTGGCATCAACAGGTACAAAATTATCAGTGCTAACAGAGGTAAGTTTCAAATTTGAATCCATAGGAGAATTAGCAGGTTTAGAATCAAGGTAACATGTTGTTGACGAGCGTTTTCGGTCAACGGTTAAAAATAAAAGATAAAGAAAGCAGGACTGAAAAAGGGGAGAATAATCCGGTTTAATTACGATTTTATTAGGCGATCACGAGGTCGGCCTCTCGTACGAGGTCGCCACTTGCGATATACTTACAGTTCTTACAATGAGCTTCTTACAGTTTAGAGAGAGAAAATAGAGAGAAGGCAGGAGTTAGTTGGAATTCAACCACCCAAAATAAATGAGATGAACTGCTATCTATAGTGGTCTTTAATGTGGCACTATTCAGCTACTGTTCACTGGTCTTGTCGCACAGTAATCCGGCAGGGCAGTTCGGCGTCCGTCTGACGGTTATTTAATGCGATTTGAGGTTTTCTCAATCATTGCCTGACGGGCATTAAATGCCAGCATGGGGGGCATTTAATGCTGGATGGCTTTGCTGACTTAGGCTGGCTGGTAGGGGGCTAGGCCATGATTACCTGTCCCATCGTCCAATGATGACCTCCCAAGTGGGAATATTTTAATGCTCATCGAAACCCATGCGTCGTCCCTGGTCGGCCTCTTCGTACTTTCAGGTCGGCACTTCGTTCGTAGATGCTCTTCAGACTACGAATAGTCTTCTTCGTGTTCGGCACCCACTCAGGCCGGCAGTTGCCCGGTCTGAGACGGGAGCCGGGCTGAGAATCTGTTCCCAGGACGGATTCCCGCCACTCTAATCCATGAGCCAGCTCGGCACTTCCTCATCAGACCGGGCTTTTGGCTCGAGTCGGTTGGCAACGTCTCCCCGGCTCATTCCTGGCTAACTCGGATATCAACACATGTATCATGTAGGAGATCTAAAGCATATTTTCTTTGGCAGAGATTAATGCCTTTATCAGATTGTGCAATTTCAATACCCAAAATGTACTTGAGTGTTCCCAAATCTTTAATAGTGAAACAAGCATGCAGATGGGATTTAACCGCATTAATCTCAGTCATGTCATTGCCAGCCAGTATGATATCATCAACATAAACTAAAAGGGCAGTGAATGATGAATTTGATGATTTTACAAACAGGCTGCAGTCAGCAGAAGATTGAGAATAGCCATAATGTAATAAGCAAGAGGTAAGTTTATGAAACCACTGTCTAGAGGCTTGTTTAAGGCCATATAGACTTTTACAAGTTTGCAAACTTTGCTGAATTATCAGTCAGGTAACCAGGAGGTGGAGTCATATATATATCTTCATTTAAATCACCATGGAGGAAAGCATTGTTAACATCTAGTTGATAAAGAAACCAGTTTTTAATAGATGCTATTGCTAACAATGTTCTAACAGTAGTGATTTTGGCAACAGGGGAGAAGGTATCAAAGTAATCGATGCCTTCTTCCTGTGTATAACCTTTGGCCACTAGTCTAGCTTTATATCTACCTAGTGTGCCATCTGAGTTATACTTTACTTTATAAACCCATTTGCACCCAATGCAGTGCTTACCTGGAGGTAGATCAGTCAAGACCCAAGTATTGGTCTTTTCCAAGGCTTCCAATTCCTTAGACATAGCTTCCTGCCAATGTGGGTCTTTGACAGCCTGCTTATAAGTTCTAGGTTCTGGAATAACAGAGATAGAGGCAGTAAAACAAGAAAAAGATGCATTCAATCTGTCAGTGGATAAGAAATTAGTTATGGGATATGGGGATGTACCAGATGTGCTAGTCTGGTCTGTGCAAAAAGAAAGATTAGAAGAATGAGGGATAGAATGTTTATATATGTTCAGGTAAGGAGGAGGATTTCTTGTTCTGGTAGATCTCCTTAGAGGAGTGGGTGAAGTAGTCTGATTCATGATAGGAGATGGATTTGAAGAAAAGGTTGGGGAAGAGATATCAGAGTTAGTGTTATTGTTGACATTTTGCTGTGGAGATGAAATAGCAGGAATAATGGAAGGAACAACTTGTGTGGGTTGGGGCATATCAAATTGAAAAGATGCATGTTGAGGAAATAAAGGAGAAGTATGAGATGTAGTATCATGATTTTTAAAAGGGAGCACAGACTCATAAAAAAGCACATTTCTGGATATTATTATATTCTTGGTATCCAAGTTATAAAGTTTATACCCTTTATAACCTAATGGATATCCAAGTAAGATGCATTTGGAAGCTCTGTGGTCAAATTTAGACCTATGAGAATGCAGTGTTGAAGCATAGCAGAGACACCCAATTGTTTTTAAATGATCATATGTGGGAGATTTGTTGTAAAGCATTTCAAAGGGTGTCTTGTTTTGTAAAACAGGAGATGGGATTCTATTGATAATGTGAACAGCAGATAATACACAATCCATCCAAAATTGTAAAGGAAGATATGCATGAAACATAAGTGCTCTTTCAACTTGTAAAATGTGCTGATGTTTCCTCTCAACTCTCCCATTTTGTTGAGGGTTTTCAACACAACTTCTTTGATGAATAATACCAGTTATATGGAAAAA